TACCCTCGCTCCCTGAAGCTGATCAAATAAGTCATCAATGCGAGGCAAAGGATACTTGTTCTTCACTGTTACCTTATTCAACTGCCTATAATCAATACACATTCTCATTGTGCCATTATTCTTCTTTACAAATAAAACAGGTGCACCCCACGGGGAGACGCTAGGCCGAATGAACCCCTTATCTAGAAGTTCCTGAAGCTGCTCCTTCAATTCTTTCAGCTCTGCTGGTGCCATACAATATGGCGGAATAGAAATTGGCTGAGTGCCCGGCACTAAGTCAATGCCAAAATCAATATCCTTGTCCGGCAGCATGCCCGACAGGTCTGCAGGAAATACATCAGGAAAGTCCCTCACAACTGGGACAAAATCAATACTAGGAGTCTCAGCTCCAACATCCCGCACAAAAGCCAGATATGATAGATAACCCTTCCCAACCATACGCTGGGCTTTCAAGAAAGAAATTACTCTGCTAGAGACATAATCAGTCATGCCACGCCACTCGATCCTCGGAACACCCGGAATAGCCAAAGTAACTGTCTTAGCATGACAATCTAGAATAACATGACACAGAAATAACCAATCCATGCCCAATATAACATCAAAGTCCACCATGCTCAATAGCAATAGATCAACTCGGGTCTCCAGACCCTCAATAATCACAACACATGACCGGAACGCACGGTTCACAACAACAGTATCGCCCACCAGGGTAGATACATGAACAGGTAAAGAAGGAAACTCTCGGGGCGTGCCCAAATAATGAGAAAAATATGAGGACACATAAGAATAGGTAGAACCGGGATCGAATAATACAGAGGCATCTCTGTGGCAGATTGGACAATTCCTGTAATGACAATATTTGAAGCAATAACATAAAAAAATAGGCCCGTCCACCGCCTGATCGACCTTAATCCCCGTAAGCAATAACTGACTCACCAACACGCCTCAAACTTGAACCAATATAGCACAAAATCGTGCAATTAACTTATTTAATATCAAACTCCCCAACTTGGCTCAAATACATAGATCAAAACGCACTCAATAAATCATAATGCACATACTCTATTATTGTTGTAATACCATAGTGAGATTGAACTCACTCCTTCATAAGCTTGTGGAAACACAAATCATCTAGAATTTTAACTCTTCTGCAATTCTTGCATTCACTCACATAACAGTTAAGCCCACTCTCTAGGCGACCAAATTTAGATTTCAATGCATATTCTTTACTTGTAAATGAGATCTTCTAATAGACTGTATAAGAATCGCACCACCTTAGAACACTCCGCAGGAGATAACCCACATGTTTCACTTCTAATTAATATTTTTGTATACCTTCCACCGTCATTCACATTACACAATCACTTAGTCTTCCTGAGTCTAAACTCATACCGTAACATGAAATTTACTTCACTCCAAACAGGAGACATGAAAAGATTCTTCACGCGCCCATAACTCGGGGCTACACATCAGATCACAATGAAAATCAAACACTTAATAGTTCATCTATTATCCTGACGCCCTTCCTCGTCACCTCCAAGTCATATAGATATATCTCGCAGTACTAACATACTCCTCACGTGGCTATCCAACCATCATTCCCACTAATAGGGACAATACCGGACATATAATTTCAAAACTCTTGCTCGCACAATCAGCACTTCGGTGCTCAAGCCATAGGCAAGGATCTAGCCTCAAGTCCTCCAGACTGGCCTAACATCAAACTCATAGCGATTACGTCTCGCCCTTCGTCCGGGGAATTACAAGCCATCAAGGTACATCTAATACTGAGCGCTCATTCGCGCATACGAACACGTGGATGAAATTGTAAGAGTTACTTTTTTTTCCAGCTGAATCAAGGACGCACGATAAGAATTCAAGAATATGAAAATTTCCTAAAGGTACTGCAACCTCTCGAGGATAAATACAGACGTCTCCGTACCGATCCGCGAGACTCTACTAAACCAGCTCATGACTCGCGAGACCTAGTAACCTAGGCTCTGATACCAACTTGTCACGACCCAAAATCCCAACCCGGTTGTGATGGCGGCTCTCGTGAGGACAAGGCCAGCCAATCAACAAAACAGTACATCTCTTTATAATTACTTAGCAGGAATAAGTCTAAATCATGGGCAATATAATCTTAAATGTGAAATAAATGTGATAGAACAAGGAAAACCCTCCCAACTCAGCCCGAAATCGGGGTGTCACCAGTCATGAGCTACTACAGAGTTTACTAATATTTTATAAAGTCTGGAATTATCATAAAAACAAAGATAAGGGAGAAAACGAGGCTGCGGACGTCAACAGCTACCTCGTTACTCCTAGTCACC